TATAATAAATGAAATCAATTTAAAAATTACGTAACATTTTGGTTTCCTATTGACAACAGTGATCCAAATATTCTTTTTTAAAACTGTTCCAAAATTTCATATTTAAAATGACTATTGCACATACGTTCTTCAAAAAAATAATCCATCAATTCTACTTTGTGAAATTTTAATTTATTCAAATCGAAATATTGAACGTTATTAAAGATTTTTAAAACTTTAATTTCCGTTTCTTGCCGTTTGAAAAAAACTACATTTGAAGGATATTTTTTAAATTTTAATTCCAAATACTCTTTGACACTTGCACAAAATAGAATATCAGAATTCGGTTCCATTCGATCATATTCTAATCCGTGAATATTTTTTTAACAATTATTTAATGTTCTTTGATATTTCTCATTTAACTGCTTGTATTCTAAACATGGCCATATTTGTGCGTGATAAAAAATATCACTATTAAATTCTCGTAAACAAATTTCACGTAAGCAGTTTTGTCCCCATAGATGCTCATCTTTAAATTGGGTAACAATGTGCTCAATATTAAGCAACCAAAACTAAAAAATAACAATATTTTTTATTAAAATTGAAGTGTTTATTTTTATAAAATTTAATAAAAGTGTATAAAAAACAAAAAAAAATATTTTTAAAAAAAAACAATTTAAAAAAAATTAATCGAGTTGACAGCATCATTACAAAAATTTATAACAATTGCGCAGTTTGTGCATTAGATGAAATAGGCCAAAGGTATCAATCTCAAGAAAACAAATCTGGAAACTCTTCACCTTCATCTATAGACGAGAAACATTATGAAGACGCATGTTCAAATGATTTTCTTGAAAATATTTTTTCTTCAAAAAGAATTACATTAAATTCTAATTCTATTGAAATATGTTTTAAAAACAGCAAATCTCAACCGAATACTCAACCAACCACAACTATATCAATTTCACTTGAATAAATTTGACAATATGAAAAAAGATCATCTCGACGAAAATGTTAAAGCTGATTATTACAAATTTAAACCAAAAGTTTTCTTACTCGAAAGAGACGTAAAACCTGTTGTTCAATTTGAAGGTGATCAAACAGACGGATTCATTAATACTTTTACAGCAAAAATATTACCTACCGCTTTAACTATAATAGAAAAACTAGATGGCGTTTTAAAAAAGAAATCTGTTAAAAGAAACATTGAAGGAATCATAAAAGACGGCATTAAAGATGTCTGATAAAAAAACATTATTTGTGAATATTTTACACGCTATTGTAACATTTATTTCAAATTTTTTTTGTTCAGAAAAAGAAGAATAAATGTGCACTAACGAGTCTTTGTCTTGCTATTTTAAAAATACACCCTTTTTAAAAGATTATTTTATAGGTGTTTACGCTTACACGAATTAAGTCAAACTCAAACACACGTAAACATTATTAAGCGAATGGTAAAAAATGGATCTTTTTTTATTTACAATTACGAAACAAGCAAAGAAAATGGAGAACATTGGAGACTTTTACTCAAATTAGAAGATAACCATTTTTTTTGGTTTGACAGTTTAGGTACTGAAAGCTGTTTACGAGAAATTCCCCCTTTTTAAAGAAGCAATTGACATTTGTTTGAAGCTGTAGAAGATATACAAACTAACATACAAATAAACACTTTAAACATTAATTATAATGAAATTGAAATAAGTTCTTACATTCGACAAACTAATCACTTTCCTTACGAATGGACATCTGACAATCATGAATTTTATTGGTTTACAAAAATTATATAAAAATATAGTTAGATGACTGGCCAACAAAATATTTTGTTTTCTTATAACAAAACTTGTTTTAAATGGGAAAACAGTAGTTTGTGCGGAGCTTTTGCAGCCTATTTTATATCATTGTTACCAAACTATCTCATTTATGGACAAATTTATTTACCTTTATTGTGCAGATTATTGAACTATCACTTCTATGAAGTTTCGACTCTTCATGCTTCCGAACTAGCTCAAATAAATTTGCTTCTATTTTTTCACTTTGTTAGAACTAAATTATTTAAACACTTTGTTGCTAAACAACTTTCTGCTAAACAACTTTCTGAAAAAGACATTAAGCTACATCTCTATTCAAAAAAAACGAGAGTCTAGTACGTAGTAATGTAACAATGAAAATAATGAAAACTAGCAGTAAGCAACCCGTAATTCGGGTTAAAAATAACTAAACCATTAGTAACAACTTAACTTACTACGTTGTCTCAAAAAATATATCTAAATACAAATTTATCTGTAAATAATTTCACAGATAAATTTGCATTTAAAGTTCGGCTCCCTATTAGCAATGTCATTGCTTATAGTTATAATTAACAACGCGTAAAATATGTTTATAGACGGTCATTATCAATAGTGTTAAGAATACGCAAGAGCTCCGTACTTATTCAGGTTTTATCTCGCTTTATTAATTCTTATTTAAGTGAGACTAAGACAGTGTTTCCAAGGCACCGTGTTATAAAAAGACATAATAATTAACTTAAGGGAGTTACTGTTAAATATGACAAAAACTATTTTTTTTTTGGATATATATATTTTTTTAGAGTGAAGGCGTTTTTATTATCATTTAGTTGAAATTTTCCTAAACATCTTTAAATTTTTTGGAGCAGTAAAAAAACTTATTTATTATTCTTATATAAATGTTAACTTCTAATGTCTAACGGGACACTTATTAATTTTTTGGTAACCCCCTCTCCTTAATTAAGGAATTCTATTTAACTTAAAAGCGTTTAATGTGCGCATAATTAAATTTTAGTTAATTACATAAAGGTCTCTCCGTCATAGATGAAAAATGCATTTTAAACAGAAATTTTCAAATAGTTCATGCTTCTAAAATCCGGCCCTTCCGTTTATTACAAAATCACAAATTCATTTAAAAATATTTTTTTTAACATAACTGTATTATTTAATAACAAAACATAATTATTATTTGTGTTCTCCTGGTTCGCATAAATACGTCACATGGTGTCTAAAAGAAAAATGTAAAAGATAAGTAAATATAATAGAAAAGAAAAACATTTTTAAAACAGGAAAACAAATAACCTGTTTTTGGCAAACTGCAGTTGCTGTTTTGATGAAGCAATATTTAATGGTGTTGTTCAATGACATTATTTCATGCTGGCTTTTTATTAAAGACGAAAAAATTAACATTTTTTCTTAAACAAATTTAAAATGTTTTAAAGAATAGAACTATGCACAACACTAAAGATAAAAAAAAAAACAAATTGAAATATAAACAAATTGTGTTTATGTGTTTTGTCTTGGCTTTAAGTGAATGATTAGAAACAGTGAGCTTCATGAATAGAACTACCAATTAATCATTTTTAACGATAGACACCAACGGGAAGGTAAACCAACTGTCTCTCAACACAAATCATCACAACAATTTTACAACGATAACGCACAACAAAAGCACATCAGATATTTATAAGTACACATTACACTTGCTCTTTACAATGGCAAAGTCAAACCACTTTGGAACTATGCATAAAATAGACAAAGAAACAAACTATAAACATATCGTCACGATCATAGCACAATCGTCTAAGTCATTTTTTTCTTGTTTTGAGAAAACTAAAAAAAAAAAATGAATAACTTCGGTATTTCTTTTGCGACGTCACTTTGGCTTATTTCCGGCATCTTTTTACCTAGATGCTTTCATATATTGCTCTTGAAGTGATATTTGTATTACCGTTGAGACACAATAGGATATAGGTCAAAAGCAATAAGATATAAGTAAAAATGCGGATTTAAGCAGAAGTGAAAAAACTAAAAATCAACTCCTTTCTGATTGGCTAAAGGCGATTTGCCACATTATTAGACTGTTTAAGCTATATATTTCAACTCTTAACTTCCGAAAAACCCCCAAAAAATGACTTAAGCAATTGTGCTATGATCGTAATTGTGCTATGACAACATTATAAAACATATTAACACATTACATATTTGTATGTACATATGATGCTTAATATTAATAGACATTACGTGTTTCCAGAATAATGAAAAAAGGCTAGACAACACAACCTCAACAAGCCACAACAAAGCAGTTACAGCACTTGGCACTAAACGCTGCCAAGTCACACCTCTGCTTTAAGTACACCGCTTGGCTGGCAAGGTTAACTATCTTTCTCGACACGTTTGCCAAGTCACACCACTTTGAAAACATGGAAACAACGTAATATAAACATATATACACAAACTATAAACACATATACACAAACCCTAAACACAAACTTGATAACACATATAGCCCAAGTATTACATGAACAATTTAAACAACAACTAACACATAACATAACACCTATAACACTTACATAACACCTATAACAATTATAAACATGTATAAAGACAAATATAATTACTAAAACAATATAAAATAAAACTATGAAAAAAAGTGAAAATTATAACAAAAATCTCATTATTATAAATTAAGAACATTAGAAAATACAACATTATTTGTATAACACTTTTCGCCTATCATACCTTGAATGGGATGTTTATCAATTTAAAAAATAAACTATTAAATGCTCTTGTTCTTGAACATGCAACATAAAGTTGACCATGAGTGAAACACGGTTTCTTTAGATATACATCAACTCTATCAAATGTTTGACCTTGACTTTTATTAATTGTCATTGAATATGCCAATCTGACAGGAAACTGGCGACGTTTTAGAACAAAAGGTAAATTAGAATCTGACGGAGCCAACTGAATTCGAGGTACAAATACCCGTTTACCAGCAGAAACACCTGTCAAAACCTCTGCATCAATATAATTATTTTGAAGAGCACAAACTTTCATTCGAGTGGCATTGCATAACCCAGCTTTAAGATCTAAATTTCTAAGTAACATAATTATACAACCAATTTTAAACTTTAAAGAATGAGGAGGTATACCTGAGGGAGTTAAGCTATTTGAAAACTCAACAGGAAAGTTATTTCTTTCATTAAGATTGTCTGTCTCAACTTGATCAGCACTTTAATAAGTTTTGACCTCATCCGGTAGACGTTGAAGCACTTCCTCATTGATTGATAGTGAATCCACATTCGTTGGTGTCAAAATGACACGTTTAGCATAATCGTCTTGTTCGGCATCCCCAAATATCTTTTCAACAATAGAGTCATTTTCCCTAATAAGGCATTGATGCGGTATTTCAATGCACCCTTTAAAAGGATCTTCCTCTTTGACGAATACTGTTCCACTATCAAGTCTCAACAGCCAATTTGAAAATTCCCTTTCCCCATCATATACTCTCATATTTTCTGTTAACTTAAACTTCTGCACCCATTGCCAATGTAAAGAACATTTTATACCTGCTTCTACAACTTCAGCTGGTTGTCCTCTTTTCACAACAGGCAGTATTTGTCTAAAGTCGCCTCCAAAAAGAATGACTTTTCCTCCAAATGGAAAGTTGTTGTTGCAAACATCTTTTAATAACCTATCAATTGCATTCAATGCATGTTTGGGTATCATGGATGTTTCATCAAGCAAAAACAAACTAACCTGACTTAAAAAGTGTCCATGAATAGAGTTTGGAGTAACATTACATGTGCTGTTATCTAATATTGGAACAGGAAGTTTGAATAAGCCATGCAATGTAGATCCATTTGTAAGAAGAGTTGCTGCTATGCCAGTCCATGCAGCTGTAGCAGATTTGATACCTCAACTGCTGGTTTCAGCAATCAAATAATTATATGTAATCGTTTTTCCACTACCAGCCGGTCCATCCATGAAAAACAATCGAGAATGCTGATTTTCTACACTTGGTTGTTCATTCAATGCAGCAAGAATATACATTTAGAGCAAGAACATACATTTAATTACCCAAGAACATACATTTAATTTAATTAATTAATAAACATACATAATTTAAACAGCAAGAACATACATTTAATTGATTGATATTGCGCAGTGGTCTCATTCTATTGGCTTCATCAATTGATTGTTGAACATTTTGATTGAAATTTTCTAGATTATCTAGATTAAAATCTGACTCAATAACAAGCAGATTATAATCCGCCAGCGTTTTACCACACTGATTAATAATCTTTTCAACTTGACAAAGAGCAGCTTGTTCAGCTATTATAAGCGGGACTGAGCGGTGAATAAAGTCCTCAATCATAAATGCTTTGTATGTATTCCAAAGATGCAAAGGATTGTCTGGTTCACAAAAAGTCAAAATAATTGCAAATAACTGTCTAATTTGCTTTGGCATACGTATTAAAACTGCCTCAGAAAGTGCATTTTGCCATTTAGTGTCATCTTGTAACAAACCATTTAAAACGCATGCTTCACGAAATGTTTCAACAACAATACCATTAACAGTACGCACATCCACCCAAGACTTGGCTTTTTTTGCATGCAAAAGTAACAGCCTAATTCTCCAGTTGGATTAACTTTATACATTCTTACTATCACCTTATTACCACCTCTTTGTCTTACCTTCCATTTACAAAGCTTATCATCAAATATATAATGATAAGGAATGTCAACATATGAATTGCAATGTGCTCTTTCATTTTCAGAAATTAACTTAAACCATGCTGTAAGGTGTGTATCACGTTGAGCTGCACGATCTAAAGCCATTTGTTCTGCTCCTTCTCTAAAATACACTAATTGATTCTCAGGAAGATGAACTTTAAGGCAGATAATAGTGTGTGACATATGACTTATGGGATATTCAAAAATTCGCCGCAATGCTTCAGGTGCACTTACATAACGACAGTCTAAAAAAGTGTTTACTTCATCATGATTAATTTGTTCATTTATCAAAATATTGGCACAGTCGTGACCCTTGTATATGTATTTGTACAAATATTTAACAGCCTTAACAGACATGCAAGCTTCAACATTAATGTAGGCTTGATATTTCTTTGATAACCATGGATTGTAAGGTACCACCCAGCGGTTATCTACATTGTTGCCTTTAATATTAATAACCAAACCATTATCACGACGCTTATAGCGAGGATAACCATTATGAACTACTACTGTGTTGGCATTAAATTCTTTAGGATAATTTTTGCTGCACACCCCATCTTTCATGCAGGTAGAGTTTGGATTCAGTATGCCACATAGACCATGAATCATGCAAGTTTTAACATCATAAAGTTCACGATTTATAATTGGATCTGGAATTTCAGCACATATTAAACTATTGGTATCCTGTGCTGTCTCCAGCTTATCATCAGTGACAAAGTGAAGTAAAATATGAACATGTGGTAAACCACGCTTTTGAAATGCGATAACATGAACATGGGTTACGACTTTCCCTAATCCATGCTTAAAAATATAATTTAGGAGATTATTTAATTTGAGTTTAAATACTCGTGTAACTAAATCAGGTCTATCATTTGCAGTTTGACCTGGATATAAATTTGCAGTTATCACGCGCCATTTTGGGTTGCAGGTAAAAGTAATAAAGAGATCTGGTTTACCATACTTTTTAATTATCGCCATAGCATCTTCAAAGTTTTCTTTAAAAGCTCTAGGACTTCCTACATAAGTATATTGGCAAAACTACAATGAAATGTATGTCCCGGTGAGGCTATAGTATTCACTGAGCAGTTCCTTGAACTCGAATTCGTTGTGTCCTCGTTGGAGTTGTTGTTCGATATAGTCAAGTTTTCGCTTGATTGTTGGTGCTGATGGATCGACTCGCTTTTCTCGTCGTTGTTTTCCTCTCGTGATTCTTTTAACGTTTGGCATTTTATTTTCCAGTAAACGTTGTTTGCGTATTCGCTGTCTTGATTAAAACTTATGTCGTACGTTTCGCCTTCTAAACTCATAACTGCTTTATTAAACTTAAGTTTGGTTTTTATTATAGAAAATGATTGACGTTTCTATGGTAAATAATAGAGAAAAAAACAAAAAGATTATCCTTTTATAATACGAGATTAAGGCTATTGTTAATATTGACAGTAATACGAAACATTTATAAATTCCTCTCCAACCTACCATCCCAACCAACCCTCGACACACCCCCACGTCCGCCCGCTATGAGATCTCATAGTGGGCGGAGGCGGGGGTGTGTCGAGGGTTAGTTGGGATGGTAGGTTGGAGAGGACGTTCAGGGTTGTGAACCAATTGATTATGCCAACCAGCATCATCCCTTGGGAAAAATAGAGGATTAACCATTGGATCTAAGTTGGCAGACATACTTGATATAGTTTTAAGAGGATGACCTCTCGGGTAAATAACAACTTCTCTGGAAGCAGGAGGAGCACCATCTTCACCTACAAATACAACTGCAACTTCACTATGTGAAGGGAGATTATAGCGACCTCTATCTTGCTCTTCAAGTAAAGACATATTTACAACTGAGACTGAGCGACCTTCTATAGCTGCTTGGCGAATTTCTCCATGTTCCACTTCAGCCATGTTTTTAAATGCGAGAGATGTTTTTAAATTGCTTTAAAATGGGTTCTCCTCACTAATAACAGTTTGCAACCGAAACATTAAATCATTTAAGCAAATATCATTACCAGGTTGTCGCATTCTAAAATTTTTTGCTGCAAGTGGATCATAAATGTATAGTTGACAATATGCTAGAGGAATATCTTGATCTGGCCTAAGATTAGCAAACCTGACCACATATTCTAAAACATGGCGGCCCATGATTCATGGGTTGAACTACATTAGCGGTAAATGAAGCAAAAGAAAGACAGGCATTATAATTTCAAATATATTTTAGAAAATTCACATTGGCATTTCGATCTACATAACTTCCTGTAATTAAATCTTGTAAATCTTGCGGAAATGGTGAAAGTTGAGACAAAACTACCTTTCCATTATAGCAACATAAAAAATGTGTTTCATCAGGAAATTTCTTAGCACCACAATGCTGACAAATATGATTCATTTCTCCTAAATAATTATAATCTGGAATAGTATTACTTCTTGCTATACAATGCATTCTTTCATGTCTATAAGCATATCTAGCATTCTGTTGATTATTAATTTCATCTCGCCTCAGCCTATTTCTTGCATTTCTGTGACGATTATTTTCAACTTGTCTAATGACATTGTCCTCATTTTGATTCAAATTATTTGCGGCTTGCCGAGCAGCATATCTAGCATTCTGTTGATTATAAATTTCATCTCGCCTCAGCCTATTTCTTGCATTTCTGTGACGATTATTTTCAACTTGCCTAATCACATTGTCCTCATTTTGATTCAAATTATTTGCGGCTTGCCGAGCAGCATATCTAGCATTCTGTTGATTATTAATTTCATCTCGCCTCAGCCTATTTTTGGCATTTCTGCGACGATTATTTTCAACTTGCCTATTAACATTTTCATCATTTTTATCCATTTAAATTTTACTTTTAATTGATAATAGTAACAAAAAAACTTGAATTAATCCAGAAGATTGTGATCTTTTTTTTTTTACTACTCTAAATTGCACATTCAAATTATTTTTAAAAAATGACAGGACATTTTTATTTAAAATAAACTAAATTATACAACAATCTTTTTTAAAAAAAATTGCATAAATATATCTGGTAAGAGATGTTTAAACAAAAAATTAACTTATAATAATAATCTAAATAAAAAAATAACGAATAGGATTAAAAAATAATGAATAATAAAATTTGAATAATAAATTTTAATAATAAAAGTGCTGCTTAAACAAAAAATAGAAAAAAAAATTAAAAAATAATGAAAAAATATTTGCAAACCCTTTTTGTAAACTTTAAATTATTTCTATAAAAAAATTGTTTATAAAATATTAAAATAATTTAACCTTCGCAAACAATGAAATGACTGTTCAAAAGTTGTAGTTTAGTTTAATTTTCTAAATTCTAAAGAAAAGAACAAAAATCTAACAGCATCATTGAAATGTCAATAATATAATAAGCAACATGACAAAATTCAAATTCAATATATAAAAGATTATTTATCTGTTTTTCTTTTTCTTATTACTTTCTTTTTTTTTTCTTTATTATTAAGACTATCTATTTTACATTTTAAAATACATATTAGATAAAAATACATTTAGATAAAAATACATATTAGATAAAAATTAGAAGAATAAATTTATTAAAGCTTAACATAAGTTAAAAGCAGTTATAAACACTAAACTATTAAATTCGAAACAATGAAAAGAAATAAAATCTGGTGAAAATCAACAAATTATAAACTTTAAAATATTAGAAATTTACATGTGGTTTTTTTTACAGTTAATTATCTACTATAGTACATTTTTCTGATTTAACTGATATGATATATATTGGGGACAATTACAGTCATGTTATATTGTGAACCAAAAATTAAACGTCTAGTCAAAAATTAAAAGTCTAAACAAATACTAAAAAAATAAAAACAAACAAAATTAAAATTATATATTTATTTCTTTGAGAATAAAACACCAAGGAAAAAACAGCAACAAAAAAATTGTAAATATCTTCACTGATTGAAGATATTTAAAATTTTTTTGTTGCTGTTTTTTCCTTGGTTCTCCATTTAAATGAGGGCTCTCCATGTGAATGATGCTCTGATGATGCAAATAAGCTCTCGATTTAAATGAGGGCTCATCCATACCATTATTAAGGCACCATTTGTTAAAGGACCTCTCAGAAAGAGGTCCTGGGTGCTGGGAGCGATAAATCCTGTAGCTGCTCCAATTTAGATCTAAAGAAATAAAAAATAATATGATAAAAAAATAGATATTTGCATTTAAAATAATTATAAGATAAAAGCATAATTCTACCGGGTGCAGCAGTGCCAGACAATGCTAAAGAAATAGAAGGAAAAAAAAAGTAGAAAAAAGTAAAAACTGAACATGTTAGTATTTGTATTTTGAATAAAATTGCAATTTGAGAAAAATTGCATAAAAATTTAAAACATAATCCTACCAGTTGTAGCAGTACCAGATGACGATGCTAAAAAAATGGAAAAAATAAAATAAAAACTGAACATGTCGATATTTGTATTTCAATTAAAAAATAAAAACTGAACATGTTAATTTTTGTACTTTTCTAAAAATATCAAGCATAACCCTACCAATTGTAGTAGTACTACCAGATGTCAATGCTAAAGAAAGGGAAAATAAAATAAAAGTTAGATAAAGTAAAAACTGAACATCTTAATATTTGCATTTCTATAAAAATATAAAGCATAACCCAACCAGCTGTAGTAGTATCAGATGGTGAGGCTAAAGAAGTAGAGGAGAAAAGAAAAAGTAGAATAAAATAAAAACCTAACAGGTTGATATTTTTATTTACATCTAAATATAAAGCATACCCTTACCAATTGTAGTAGTACCAGATGTCACTGCTAAAAAATAGAAAATAAAATAAAAGTAGGGTAAAATAAAAACTGAACATGTTAATCTTTGTACTTAAATGAAATTATCAAGCATAATCCTACCAGTTGCAGTCATATCAGATGATGATGCTAAAAAAATGAAATAAATTCAAACTAAACATGTTGATACTTGTATTTTATTTAAATATAAAGTATAACCCTACATGTTAAAGTAGTACCAGAGAACGATGCTGAAAAAAAGAGCGAAAAAAGAAGAGTAGAATAGACAAAAAAAAAACAAATGTAATATTTGTATTTTAATAATCTACAATATAATTGCAAAAAAATAAAAAGCATAACCCTACCAGTTGTCACAGAGTTAGACACTAGTAATGACACTTAAAAAAAAATTAATGTTAAAAATTATAAAACATAAAAGAGTTAATAGTAAAAAGTATGTATGTATCTTTATATAATTTTTACCTGTTTTCCTCATTTCTTCCATAAAATCATCTAAAACAAAAAAAACTTGAAAATTTTATAAAAAAGACATAAAAAAAAATCAATTAAATCAGTAATTAGAAAAAATATCTTTAAATTAGGAAAATTAACAATGTTGAGTTATATTTAAGGCTCTATCACTACTCTGTGTGTGTGTGTGTGTGTGTATATGTTTATATATATATATATATATATATATATATATATATATATATATATATATATATATATATATATATATATATATATATATATATATATATATATATAAATTATCAATTGGTAAAATTATAAAATAATTTATACCTAGTCTAAGTTTCAATTTTCCTATTAAGGAAAAAGCAAGTTAAAAGTAAACAGTACAAATTATTAAATCCTAATAACAAATATTTAATGACAAAAATACTGACTGTATTTCTTTAGTGCTTTGTCTAAACAATAAATTTAAATACACTTTTATTAAAATCTTTTAAAGACATATATATTATAAAAATTCAATAATTTTAAAAACAAAATTAATTGCTAATTGGCTAACTAACAATTATACCTTTATCAGGTCGCTTATGATAAACTAAACAAATTTTATATGCAATTAACATCTTGTTTTAGACTGAAGTTATCATTAACATATATATTTAGTTCTACTAAAATAGTTACAAAATTTAAAACTTACTTACATCTTCCCCATCATTGTCAACTAAATGAAAATTCAACTCCAAAAATACTCTTCTATATATTACTAATATTTTAAATTCTACTTAAATATTTAAAAAATCAACACTTACCTTCAGTTTCATCTCCGTGGTTAACTAAATAGAATTTACAATAATAATAATATAAATCAAAATATAAATGAAAAAATAATAAATTCTACTTTAAATATTTAAAAAATCAACACTTACCTTCAGTTTCATCTCCGTGGTTAACTAAATAGAATTTACAATAATAATAATAATATAAATCAAAATATAAATGAAAAAATAATAAATTATACTTAAATATTTAAAAAATCAACACTTACCTTCAGTTTCATCTCCGTGGTTAACTAAATAGAAATAAATATTATTTACAATAATAATATAAATCAAAATATAAATGAAAAAATAATAAATTATAGTAAACCAAAAAAAACAAAAAGTCAAAGTTACACATTAAATAAACAGAAAAAAAAAATCTATATACTTGATAATGTACTTAAAAATGTAACTTAAATTATTATTATTATTATTATGATTATTAATAAGTCTTATTTATCTTTTAAATCGTTCAAATAGTTTTCACATAGTTTAAATTTTTCCTTACAATAAGACTCCTTTGATGTTAAACAAATAAAATGTTTTGAAAAAGATTAAAATAAAAACTTTACCGTTCATTTTTCTTTTTTGCTAATCTATAATAATTAAATTAATAAAATTAAATATAACCTATAATATAAAAATAAGATTTTTACTTTACAACTCTTCTTTTTATAACAACGTTCTAAAATAAAAAATTGCAAAACTCAACTTAAGTTAACATGTAAATTGAAACTATATAAAAATGATTTCCCTAAAAAGATAAAAGAAGTTCGTCAGGTCTGGCTCGGTAGACCTTTTGGGTGGACCGCATGTTCTTAAAAAACGCGCTCTAAA